TATAAAAAACGTGCAAGTGAGATTTTCTTAAAATTTAAATTGAAAATCTAGCCTTAAAATTACAAAAACGACGAAGTTTTCTCTTCGTTCTGCAAAATCGTCGCTTTGCAGTTAGTCGGTATATTTCGTTAGCCATCGAAATGAAAAATTGCAACTTTATTATATTAAAATATAAAGAGCAATGCTATGAACATTATTAAATGTCTCTCTTCAGAGTGGGCCTCTGTCAGCCAGAATATACATTCGACCTATGCGTGTTCCTTACAAAGTAGCAAAAGGAAGACCTTCCAGTGCACTCTTGTCTGTTAGGGTTCTCTGGTTTCCCCCGTTTTTCATGATGAACAGATTAATGCATTTCGATTACACATTTCGCAAATTGAACTTGGGTCACAAAAAGTGATGAGGTGATTCGACGGACGCCTTTTTTTTGCGCCAGGGAGACGCGCGATGTATCGAATCGATTCGTTCCATAATGTCAGCTACTTGCTTTTTTCTTCGAATTTTGAGATCGCACTCCTGTTTTCACGAGACGAAAGAATTCATGTATCAAATTTGACAAAGAAAGTCAACGTAATAAAGGCAGGGGTTTTTTTTAGAGGAAAAATATAGCATTCGATATTGATATCGGAACTTCACTCGAATGCGATGTATCGCACGTCGCTGACACATAAAATGGCGTCCGTTGAATCACTTTTGCCGTTCAGGTCACTGTGTGTCATTTCAAAAAGAGACAAAAAACGAATGCAAAAAAGTCTACTGACGTACTCTTCAAATAAGGTTTGATGAATAAAAAGTATCGCCGTTGGTTGGATATTCGGTTGTTACCCTTCGGGTTTGCTGTTAATGTAACTACTTTTTACGCAAAAATCTGCAACGTACTTATTATTTCATCTACGACGATACCACTCAGACGATAGATGAAAGTCTGAAAGCATTTAGAAAGCTTTACTGTGCGGGAAAACCAAGTGTAAAACTACGAAATAACCTTACTGCCCATTGGATTAGCTTTTGCGTGTTTGATCATTGTTATAACAGTATTGAAGCCTCCAAATTTCAATCAGTAGCTCTCGCGGTCTTAGGAAATGTTTGGTGTGTGTAGCCGGTGAAACTACCAGATCATGTTTCAAAATTGCGGTATTTAAAAATCTCTGCTTCCATTTTAATTTTTTAAAGATGAACAAATCAATATCATTTCTTGAAGTTTTCATAGAGTTTTTTTACGTGCGGAGAGGAAAAAACACAGAAGTTTTCAAGAATTGAAGAGAGTTTTTCGTTTAAAAAATTAAGTATGATAGGAACTCTACAACGTCGCAAATTGGGGAACATAGTTTGATAGTTTCATCGTCGTTATGCAACTTTTAATTTAATATATTCTGCATTTTTGTCAGTTTTAATACAAGTTATGAATTTCTGTGCAACTCAGTTTTTTTATTTAGGAAATAGTGAAGCATTTAACAGCTTAATGACGTGAAAATCATTCTAATAACTTCATTATTCAAACACTATTGTAATATGTTGCGATGAGCAACATCATGCCTAACTTTTATATTGTTCTCATCACCGTTGTATGTTTATATTTTTACCCGGAAACCGTAAGTACAGTTTCCTTCTTATTTTTATTGTTATCGTTTTTATTCTTGTTATTCTTATTTTTTGTCTTCTTTTATATAAATGTTTAATGATAAAATAAATCGTTGCGAGAGTCTGTAACAAATATTCAATGTAATTTTACTATATTTATCCCTTATAAGATAAATTTGGCATTATGTTTATTTAAAACATTGAAAAAGCAAACCTGAATTTGGTTGCGAAACGGGGCGACTTTTAAGATGAAATAAAACCTGAATACGTATTGTATGTTCTCTCATTGGTTGCTGACCGTCAATGTTGATCATGGGTCAGTATCAAACAAGGGGATTGCAGAGGAATTGGTCATAAGGCAAGCTGTACTGCCATGTTTGAACACCATATGAACCTTAATACCCAAAATCTTCTTGATAGAATACGAAATTAGCGAATTTACTCATTGAAATTCTGTTTGCAATTCAATGGAAATATTCTGAAAGGAGGATCATCGATAGAGACCGTTTTCAGGGTCACTCTGACTGAGTATGCTCACCTCTCCTTGGGCATCATGATTTGGCATTTTTCGGTTCCTTTTTGAGTCTAATATTGACCTGTACTTGTATGAGTTCGAGAGCAGATTTTGGCGAAAAATATGGATTTTATGGCATTCGATCGCAAACTTGCAAAACCTACAAAGCCCGTATTCTTCGCCAAAATCAGCCTTCAGACCTAAATTCAGGTCGGTGTTAACCTAAAAAGCAACCAAAAATAACCAAATCATGACGCATACCGAAGAATATGAACCTTTCGTGCCAGTGTAATAACCTTCCCCCCGAGCAGAGAGGGTTCCAGGATAATCCCACAAAAATGTTTCAAAATCTAGATCCACCGCGTCCCCTTTTTATTAAATCTGAGATATAAAATCTGATAAAATGTTGAAAAGATATTATATCTTATTCCCAGCTTTCTTACTCATTGATTTGCCTCAGATTTCCTTGATTATTTTTGAGCATTTGAGGACCAAGCGGTTCACCAGTTGGACCAGTTTCACCGTCGATATTTGGTACAGACAAATCACTGCGATTTCACAAATCTGCGCAATACTCAATTCGCTAAAGTCAAATGCCGCAGTTCTTTAAAAAATATATATAAAAAACAACTTATCATACGCCATTCATCCGACATTTTCACTCTCCTCTTTAAGTGCAGTTTAATAAATGGAGTTAAGTTTTTTGTTTATTTTATTTGGAGAAACTGCAATAACTGCTTGTATCACATTGCGGTCATTTTATATTTTTCGTCGAGTCATGAAACCGCAGTGACTCATTAGTATCAAATTATGCATACTTGCAGTAGTCTGAAACATGTGTAGATTTTTCATACAGATTGTGAAGTTAAGGTAGATTTTTGAAATTTTGAATGCGTTCACCGATATTTTTAGTCATTTTTCGTAAGCAATATAGACCAATCGTGAACTGTCACCTAATTCTGGGGCACTTTAAGGCCCAACACGGGTGAAAGATGAGTAGGCGGTTACGGAGGGGGGAGCTTGCCCTCCAAAAATCTTGTCGGTCCCTCATAAAATACGTTAGGAATTTCGCTTGGGTAGAGCATGACATATCCTTAATTTCTGAATTGTAATACGATCAATTTTTCGGCGAAAACAGCGCAAAACTGCCTCCAAGACGACAAAATTTTGCCGAATTAGACAAAATTTCGCAACTAGGAACTAAAATATATAGCTCAAATTCAGGAACAACTTATGGACCATTAGTCTCTCCATGATTTAAGAGTTTTTACAGATGAGCCAGAAATTTTGTTTCCGATTTGCAAAATCTAGTCCTATTATCCCTGGTATGTGCCGCGGGGAATTTCACAAAAGGACCAATAGAGCCACTCTAAAAACATCACTTTCTTTATTCATGTTTTCGAAAAAATGAGCTTTCATCGTTTCCAGATATTGTCCCACTTCTCCCTTTGACTCGCTCCAGTGTGCGGCATATGGAAGAACCGCGGACCGCGAGTGGTTTTTGGGATTTATTAATTTAGATAATTATTTTCACAATTTTTGGCAAATTATGTTGACCAAAGTCATGAAAAATAAATAAATGCCCAAAACTCCCGGTTTTTCTGAAGCAAATTTTCTACCTATATTTTCTGAGCAAAGCCCGGAGTTGGGGCCCCGCGCTTATAGGATTGCCAGTCGACGCACAATATAGTCTTAGAGACACTTAACTGAACAAAACAGTCTTAAAAAGTGAATTCATCGGTGCCGCTCACCATTCATTCATTGCGACTCTATTCTGCCGTGCTGAAGAAGAACGCCGCGCAATGGACCGAATCATGGGAGAGGTTGGACATTAATTTTTTTACTACAACTGCAAAAGATGTTGATTCGTCAAATTTTAAAAAGGGATGATTCTTATCAATTATTTTTCGAGAAATCCAATGTTTGTCGGAAACTCTCAAAGTTGGTCAGAGGTTGAAAGTCAATCAAATTATTCGAATTTGGTGTAGTTTAGACACTTTTTACCCCATTTTTAAAACCTCAAAATTTTGTAAAAACGGAGTTATGAGCTTTTGAAGTTTCCAAATTCTGTCCGACCTTTCCCAATGACTCGATCCACTCACTGGAAAAAAAACACATTGAATCTAGAGTCCAGACTCTTAAAACCATCGACAAGAAAAAATACTCTTGATTCAATCAGATTTAACCTTAAATCATGAACCCAGCCTCTTAATTTGAGCGGATTTCCTTTTGAGATAAGCTTAAATCTGATTGAATCAAGAGTCCTTTTTCATGTCAATGTTTTCAAGAGTCTGGACTCTAGATCCAATGTGGTTTTTTTTCCAGTGCTGTGCACCGTACAAACATTCGGAGTTGCCAAATTTCCCTCGATAAAGAATGCATTTCTGACGACACTCATGGATATTTTTCCTTGTAATTTTCAGATATTTTAGATTAAATTGCGCACAATATTGACTGAAAATTTTGGGGGGAAAATACTCACAATTTTCCCGGTAAATTCGATCTTTATCGATGTAATCTTGGCAGCGTCTGAAGGCTCATACGGTGTTCTCCCTTGGCACGGCAGTATCGTACTCTATGTTCCGCCCATAGTGCCGAACACATTCATTCGTTACTCTTTTTCACCGTGTCTGTAGGTAACGGCGATGCGTAGCGGAATACGCCGTTCATACTCGAACAACGACGCTCCCTCTACTTCGAGGCCGCGAAGAACACTCACAGGGTCCCAGACATTTCCGAGCAGAGGCACCCCGAGGGCTTGGTCCATGTCGACCACCGCGGATTCGCGCCCTACTTCCCAACGTGGCAGCCCCCAGCCAACATTCGAGTCACCATCGTCGGATGCGCAACTCGCGTTTCTCATTCAAAACAGAGATGCGGATCCTTGTAAGAAAATAACCGTTACCCCCAGGGAAAGCGAAAATTATAGATTGAGCCCTGAATGGATAATAGCTGAAACCTCGTGCAGGGGTGCCTTGGTCGCCTACAACACCCTCATGAGCAGGCACCACAATACAAGTACGTATGGTTATGTGTGGAGCACAACTCCACGATTTTACCGTAATGTAGCTTAACATTCCCACACGGAGAAAAAAACTTCGTGCGTGGGATCCGAAGTTTAGGTCATATGGATATCTGAAGTTTTCGGATTGAGCATCTGAACACTTTATGTCCAGCTGCTGAGGTTTGGATCACACATCTGAAACTTCAGTCTTACATCTGATGTACTTCGGTTTTCACATCCGAAAAACTTCGGTTCTCACACCCGAAAAACTTCGGTTCTCACATCTGAAGTACATCACATGTAAGAACTGAAGTTTCAGATGTGTGATCCAAACCTCAGCAGCTGGACGTAAAGTGATCAGATGCTCAATCCGAAAACTTCAGAGATCCATATAACCTAAACTTCGGATCCCACGCACGAAGTTTTTTCTCCGTACAGGTACTGCAGTCCAAACTCACCAATGATTGAAAGAAACACGATATCTTGCAATTTCCTAGTTGAGAAATGACCTCACTTATATTAAACAGGATTTTCACCACCTTCAACAATACTGCCGTACTAAGGTAAATCGCCGTTTGAACATCCTCAAGTTGCCAAATTTCCTTCGATAAAATGTTTATTTTTGAGCAAAATTATGAATATTTTTCCTTGAAATTTTTAGGAACTCCAAGTGAAATTGCGAACAAAATTATCTGAATAATTAGAAGGAAAATATTCATAAGTTTACCAGGAGATTCGTGTTTTGTCAAAGGAAATTTGCCAACGCCTGATTGTTCATACGGCGTTCTTCCTTAGCACGGCAGATTAGGTAATATGACAGCTCACTTGCGGATGACGCTCCTTGAAATTTTGGACCCGTGCGCAGAGGAGAGGGGTTTAGAAAAACCATCTTTTCTAGCGTGCTGTTGAGCCAAATTTAAAAATCTATAGCGCACTAGAAAGCTAAAAGTAGTGGCTTCTCGAGGTGTTTTTACAGATTTTTTCTATCATCTTCGTTTAGAGGATATTGAATAAGTAAATTACTTTTTGGACGACTCTCGTAAAAGCTTCCACCATTGCTAAGATAGGAATGGGGGTTGTCTTTGTTCCTGCAACGAGCAGACCTCTTCAGATGTTCACTCTTGATCCTACAGAAACGCTTATTTCCCAAGAATGTTGATAAACACAAATCACTACGCAAAGAATAAATTCAGTTATCGGTTATAACTGTTAACAGGTGCATGCTCAGGCATTCCTCTGGACGCCGAATGTCGGTACATCAAGAGGAGAAGTACCAGAGTATGGGAGTGGACATGCACTGTCAGGGTCCGGAACCATTTTTTGGTGGCGTTTATCTGTTGTGATCCAACCCGCATTGAGCATTTGGACTACTGCCTCAAGACCATGGACCCACCCTTGACGTTGAGATCAATACGTTACGACAGGAGCAAAAGTTTAAATATCCCACTATCCAGCTCCGAGGGTGGAACACCGTCAAAACCAACCTTCATCCCCGAGGAGGATGATGATGATTTTTAATACACGTATAGCCAGATATTCATCCTTGTTAGAAGCCCGCCTTTTGATGAGCTTAGAATATATGTACATATAAATTAGAAGTATCGTGTGACCATATCGAGTATGGGTGTAGCTGTCCATGGGAAAAAGGGGCCTAGTAAATGAAAATTTAACAATAAGTTATTTTTCCCCCAAGTAAAGAGGGGGGTTTTACAAACATTTTGGGACAAACGTGTCAAACCAAACCGGAGTTATAATAGTTTAAAAGTGGTTAAAAAAACGCAGTATCGACAAAGAGTTATTTAGGATGCCGACCTGCTGCAGTCAAGTTTCAAGGTCCGATTTTTTCGGGTCGTAATGAATTTTAATGGAATTTGTAGGCACGAAAATGAACCACACCGCTTGCTGCTCATTTATTGGGACCCTAAAGAGGGATAAATACGTGTTCGTCAAAATTTCAAATACCGAGTTTTCCCAATGAGAATTTCAGCGTGGGAAATATTCATTAGATGTTTTAATAAATCCAGATGAAACTTTTATGAGCTCCATGTTGTTTGCAAATGAGTGTTTTCTACATTGAATAACAACAGAGAAGTTGGAATTTTCCATTCCCTCGATGAATTCAATTGCCATCCTCCGGAAGGTAGAGATACAATTAGCGTTTTTTATTGTTCATATTACTTACGAATTTTTTCTTAGAAATCGTGTTTGATACTACGATTTATCATTCAGTTCTGACGCGAGAGCTCGTCCGTTCTATCACGCCATGCAGATACTATATGAGTTAGCTCGGCATTTTTTCCTTTTTCTTTTTTTCAAAGAAAATTTAAGATTGACAGATTGAGTAGGTTGGTCGCATTTTGCCCCTTTTTGCGTGAAAGCTTCTTTGAAAAACGCACAACTGTCGTCATCCACCTCGCCGCAACCTCGTGCCCAGGGAAAAAAAGCGGGAAAAATATTGTTCCAATAGTCAGTAGCCTTAAGGTGCTGCTTACCGAGTTTTACCATTCAAAATAGTTCAGGAGGATAAAAATCTTCAAAATAACTTTCTGGGCAATCTTTGTTTTCTTTTTTCGTTAAAATAAGTTGTTTTTTTTTATTGAATACGAGGGCTAAACGAGAAGTAATGCAAGAATTAAATTGTAATCATAATGCTGTAAAAGGTGGCTCTAGATGTATTTTACGATTGTCGTTTCTAATATTTTATAAATTCAATAAATGTACTTTCTGTGTGATCCTTGTAAACTATCAGTAATTTTTATTAGCTCAATAGCATCGAGTAACTCCTTAGTATCCTTCCATTGGCGACCTAAATAGATGCTGAAGTGCCCTGAAGTTACCGGGGGTGTGAAAAAACACAATACGGATGCTCCTCCAGAAAAGTTGTGAATATCAGTGTTAAGTAAAGCTAGTCTTCTGTAAATAGTAATTGAGGTCCTTGTCCCCTTTCTCGACAGGAAAAAATTTCGTTTGAAGGCCGCTGACGTTATACTTTACATGCTGCGTCAGACTCAGTGTTTCGCAGAATCTAATGGAATACTGAAAAAAGATTGTAAATTGAAGGAGAATTCTTTGGCAGGCCTTGTTACGAGATTCGTGCGTCAAAAAATCATATTTCTACACGCGGAGAGTGCGGAATTAAAAGTCACAGCTTTCATGCAATTCATGACAAGTGTGTAAAAAATGGTTGATATTAATGGCAAAGATGCTGGAAGCATGCATGAATGAGTGAAAAAATGAGTGCGTCAAAATTTTCCATGCATTTCTCCGAATGTCAAAAAAAAAGGGAAGAAAAATTTTTACATTGATACAGTTATGAAAATGGGACTTTCGATTGAATGTTAGTGCCGAGCATTAGAGGGAAATGGGTCTCAGTGCGGAAAAAAAATTGGTAGCTTTGAGGAAAATCTATATTTATTGTTTTACACTCTGAAGGTATCTCCCTCTGTCTACTCGGGAAAATACCACGGGAAAATCAAGAATTCCGGCATTCTTTTTGGATCTCAAAATGACGATCCCAATACAAAATGGTAACACAGTCAAAATTTGCGTGCTATACCTCCCTCTCAAAAATGTGTTCCAACTTTAATTGTCAAACAATCAATTTTACAATCTGTCCGTTTTTTGGCCATAAGGAGGGATTTATCATGTATTTATTCATTCTAGCACAATATTTTGTATACTTTTTTTTTTCAAAAAAAAAGAGGTCAAATTTTCAATACCCATTTAGTTCCAACTTTCTCCGAATATACCCTGTCTGGCCGCTATTTGTAGGCCAAACAAGAGGCATATATCTGCACAAATGAATGCAGGTCGAAATTCACAGAACTTCTTCGTAAAGCAAGAAAGATACTCAGAAAGTTACAAAAATATGGATCCAAGTTACAGATTTTTGTTCGCTAAGTGACTCATTTTCCCTCAGGATGGAGGAAATAACTTCACTTAGGTATGTTTAAAATTTCAAATCGATACATTTTGACGCTAAGATTTTTTGGACTTAGTTTCTTTAAAGATCACGGATTATAATAGGGAAAATTTCCTTTATTTTGTCCGAAACTGATAAAAAATGCATTTACTTTGAATTTGGTTAAATTGTGCCACCACTTGCCATTTTATTACCAATAGATTTTTCGGACAATGATAGTCCGTTCCTCTGATTCCCAAAAGCGTGACTAATAGTAAGTTTTTCGAAGCAACGGTATTCCTGTGATGAGCCTTTCGAAAATATGTCACAGATGACAGAACGCAAGACAAGCGTAAATGAAGCATGCAAGAAACGAAAGGACTTAAGATTTGCTTTTCCTGTTTTCAACCGCCTCAGAGTCGATGAGGCTCTTCTTTCCATCCCTCCCCCTTTCCATCCAAAAAAAAAAAAAATCAAATTTTACGGAAAAACATGCAAATCAAAAATATACTCAAGTTTCAAATGGTGAATTTTTAAAAATCAATGCTGCTTTGCGCCGGGGCACAAGCAGTCTTTTTTGTTGCATGGAAAATTGTATCATGAAGTTTTGAAGGGGAAACTAGTGTTTATACGAACAAATTATTTTCCTTCCTGTTCGCAGCTGAGTGCTTTAAAAGATCTTGTGGTGTGGATGAAGTTTAAGGATGGTTTAAGGTTTCGGCACTTTTCTGAGTGGAATTGCAGTGCAGGCGCCATCCGCGGAAAAGACCTTAGAGTTTTGTACAATTTTTAACAAGTATACGACTGCGCGTTTCGGGTCCAAAAGGTTGCAATATTTAGCGCATTAACCGAAGAAAAATCGATGAAATATTCCGTTAGAAAAGCCCAAGGGTCTCTTAAAAGAGGCACAATAATTTACAAGCGGGAATTTTGAAGCGCTGAAATGTGGTTACGTTCTTCTACCTGGAATACGACGTTATATCGTCACCTTCCAGGCAAAGTATCACAAGCGCCATGCGACGTTTAAAAATTTTCGCCGCCATTTTATTTTTTTACATAGAAATTATTGCTTGAATCTGTTCGAAAATTTCACTGAATTTTTTTTGTGCTGCCCATAAAATTCAGTGAAATTTTCGAACAGATTCAAGCAATAATTTCTATGTAAAAAAATAAAATGGCGGCGAAAATTTTTAAACGTCGCATGGCGCTTGTGATACTTTGCCTGGAAGGTGACGA